GTTCTTATCTCTGCCCCTTCTTTCTTTTCAAACATCTATCGTCCTTATTTCTCCTCTTTCTTTCCTATCGAACATCTATCGTCCTTATCTCTCCTTATTTCCTATCAAACATCTTTCGTCTTTATCTCTCTTCCTTTCCTATCAAACATCTATCTATCATCCTTACTTATCTATCATTCTTTCCTTTGTATGTTACTTTCTAGTAGCACCTGTAAACTTTGGCACTTATATGACCTTATTGTGTTGCAAGTGCTGTAAAACTCTCACTAAAAGTTTTTAAAAACTGTCGTGAGTGTGTGTGTCCCATGCAGGATGTGAAGTGACCGCTGTCTGATTGACCTCTGTCCTGTTTGTTCCCCCCCCCCCCCAGGGAGGACACAAAGAGCCAGCACAGCCACGAGGAGGAGAAGAACCTGATGACCACCAGCATGACGCTCCCCTCTCGCCCGGCACGACAGACCAGCGACGACTCAGGCCTGGAGTCGTGCGACAAGTCCATGTCCCAGCCCAACGTGGCGATCCGCGAGACTGACATCCTGGGAGTGGACGCGGAGTTGTCTCCCCCGCCCACCCCCCGCAGCAGCACGGCATCGTCGGGGGTCGGGGGCGAGTCGCCTGTACTACCCCCCGGCCGCGGGGAGTCGGGGAGTCTAGCCGGGAAGTCTTCTGTTAGCGGAGGAGGAGGGAGGAAGGAGTACGCCAAAGACGCGTCGGTGCTCCGAGTCCACAACACAACGACCACTTCCTCCACGGACCTGAGCCCCATCCTTGAGGGCACGGAGAAGGAGAGGAAGGAAGTGCAGAAGAAGCCGTCACCCGCCGCCTCGCCTTCGTCTACCTTGAAGTCGGCCGTTTTGTCGGCCTCCCTCATGTCCACCTCTCTGGTCAGCGCGGCCTCGAAGGCTCCAGTCAAGAAAGAGAACCGCGACATTATGTCCATCAAAAGTCTGGACGGGGGCGGCGGAGGGCCGGGCGGTAGCGGCGGGAAAGGGGAGCTAAGCACGTCGGTGACCAGCGTGACCTCCCCTGACTCGACCTCTGATGACCTCAGCGTGGACATTGACACCGCGCTGGAGGAGGTCATGGCCGGCCTCAAGTCTCTGGAGATGCAGCAGAAACAGGACAAGCGCATGTCGCTGCCGGCCGTCAAGGTCAAGCAGACACCGAAACACACGCCCGACCTTGTCCTTGACCTCCCCGACGGGAACGGCAGCAACTCGTCGACCGACTCTGCCGAGCCCGACAGCCCGACCATCAGCGCAGCCGAGACTTTCGCCCAGTCCAACCAGGGCACGCTGAAGAAAGCCAGCGGAGGGGAGGGCGGGGAGCCGCACCGAGAGATGGGGATAGGCAGCAGCAGCAGCGTGATTGTTGGTGGCGGCGGCAGCCATCTTGCTCGCAGCATGTCGCAGGAGACCAGCAGTCGCCTCAGTATTTCCTCGGAGCCAGGAGATCTGGCGAGGAACCGCGATGGCCGCGAGATCTTGACCTTTGGCCGGCCGGTGGGGTCATTGATGACGACGTCGCAGAGCCCTCTGTCCACCTTCGCCATCTCCTCCCTCAAACGCACGCAGAGCGCCATGCCCAGCCCGGGCCGCCCCATCGACAATCAGTCGCGATCTCCCGCCGTCGGCGATCTGAAGAGCTCACCTCGGTCGGCCGACGTCGGATCGTCGTCGTCATCCTCTCTGTCTCCGATCTCCATCACGGCGCACGTGCCGGCCCCCGCCCCCACCCCGCCCATCTTCATCCCACCCGTACCCAAGTCTCTGGCCTCGAGCGGTGCCCCCACCACCGCCCCCACCATGGGGCCCGTACCCCCGCCTGTTGCTCAAAAGCCCAAACCCCCGATGAAGGTGAAGCCGCCGGTCATGAAAAAACCGACCCCGCCCCGCTCGGAAGTACAACCTCCGCCCTAGACAACCTTAGCCTTTCTTCATCTCGCTACATCTCTCGCACCTCGTGGCGGACGTCGGGAGTTTTCTCACCTTTCTCTCTCTCCGCTTCGATGGGGGACAGAACGAAACATGTCACACGTTTGTATTTCTCTCTCGGCACTGAGAGGTGAGAGGTGGCAAAACTTGGGATGGTTTGTCGGAGGAGACAAGAGATAGGAGAAGGTCACTGCAGAACAATCACACCGTCAATGTTTCTGAACGCAAAAACTGTCAAAATTTGGTGCTGGTTTAAAATGAACGATTTTTGGGTGGATCCTGCCAGGGTTCCTGGTGGCACACCCGGACACTGGGAGGAAGGAAGGAAGGAAGGAGGGAAGGAAGGAAGGAAGGAGGAGGAGGATTTTGTTTCTGAGTGTATCGGACACAGGAAGAAAAAAAGAGGAAGGAAGAAATGTGTTCTTGTAGCGATACGCTGTTTGTTGTACCAATGTCTCAAAAGTGCTGACTCACTCAGCCAGGTCTTTGGCCTCTGGGTCACGTGTCAAGGTCAAAGGTCAAGGACATCTTTGGCCTCTGGGTCACGTGTCACGCTCAAAGGTCAAGGACTTTGTTGGAGGTAGGTCAGCGCGCTGTGCGAGTCTCAAAAGTTGATCACATCGGACGAGGAGGGGCCGTCCGCCGCACGACAAATGATGTTCTCAAAAACATGTTCTCAACTGTACAGGTTTTTTTGTTTTGTTTTTCTGTCCTGGAAGATCCCGATGCTGAGACTTTTTTTGTGTCCACTCAGCGATCTGAGTGGGAGGATTTCTGTGGTGACTTTTGTGAGTGGACTCTGTGCTGTTACTACTACCTGCTGCATTAGTCAGACTTCTGGCCATAGTCTTCACTGTCTGTCTGTCTGTCTGTCTGTACTTGTGTGTGTGTGTGAGTACTGTATGTGAGTGTATTATGTATTTTGATTAATAGAGAGAATGGACAAATAAACTGTGTGTCTGTGTGTGTATGTGAGGAAAGAGAGAGAGAGAGAGAGAGAGAGAGGCAGTATCACAGAGACAGCAATGTTTGAAAAAATGAAAAAATTGAGTGTAGTATAATATGT